GATACCCTGCCGTCGTCAGCCTCCAACATTGTTAAGGAACATAGTTTCGGTGGGTTAGGCGGTGTTGTAAAACCCCTCTGCCACCAACAGCTTCTGCCACCGGAGAGGGTATTTTTTTGTATACGTGTCATGTCTCTTGCGGTTTTCTTTTTACAACTGCAATTGAAATTTTCAACGTTGTGTTAAAATACACAACACGCTTGACATTAAATTATTAATGACGTAGAATGGAAGCTAAACGTCGGAAGTAAAATTGTGTTGCGAGCATTGTTTTATTATTAAATTTATTTTGGATATTGACCAGATCCAACTCGATGTCTGTTAAGCTGTGGTCTGGGGACGATGCAAAGCACGCTTTAAGTTCCGGCCATTAATGCATGCCTTAAAAAGGAAGGAAACGATTGCATGTCCAAGGAAATTTCTTAAATAGCCTTGTCAAATCAAGATCATCAGGCATGTCATCAAATTCATTCCGAAATATGAACTATATACAACAGTGTGCTCAGATCGTAGATTAAAAATGGATTCGTGCGAATTAATCTTGTAGGGCATAAAGATGACAATCCTTCATTTGCCTAAACTGGCGCTACAGCATCACAAAACCTTTGCCAAATAACTTAAACCACATCAGTTGAAAACTTTTAACAGCTAAAATGGATATCATATGTCAGACAAAAAAATAATATATCGTATATACTCGCGTATCATGTGGCTTTTGAAGAAGTAATTCTGAAGGTAATTTTAAGAGGGTCGTATCATACAAGTGATATAAAATTACTGTCTATACTGCTGGCCCTGGCTACGCCGTTCACCAAACGGTAAATTCATTTACTGTAGTATAAAATTATAGCTGTATTTAAATAATTGTTGATGTGATTTGTTACCTGGCATCTCGACTCCGGTCACTCTCTCACAGACGTGATGTGACTTCCCTCTTCGTTTTCTACAAAAGAATTTTCATGGCAACTGCTCTAACCAGCTACTTTCACTTGGTGCCCCAGCTGCTTGTATTTAAGCGTGCTACTAGATTGGCATTTCGGTCCCATACTTTTAATGTAAATTTAACCGCCTCCAACAGCTTCTTCTCCCGCACTTCACGTCAGTGGAACTCCCTTCCTCTTACTTGATTCTCTGATAACTATAATATTCAAAAATTCAAATGTAATGTCAATCGACATCTTCTGATCCTTTGATCTTGATCCCCGTCCTTCTCTCTATCCTTTCCTCAAACACTCTTCTTTACTCTTACTTTCACTCTTTGCGTGCGAGTGGTGCTCCCGCCTTGCTTGGGGTGAAATGGTTAGAAAAAACCTGATGTTTTACTTAACTGTATCCAATAATAATGTATATATAATATTCCCATATTAGCATCGTATTATAAAATACATAGTGAATACACATCTTTTCCATTGTTTACGTTTATAAGATGTTTAGCTGTTTACGCAACTAGTATAGCGTTACTAACGATACTTTTATCATTCTCTTTTACTTTAACTTATTTAACTAGAAGATGGAATAAAGCGATGGAGTCAACGAGGTTAGTCGGTTGTAATTTGGTTTCTAAAAAAGGAACTTGCATGATACACGAGATAGATGATAAAATCTTTTTTTTATAAGTGAAAATTTGTGGGTCGCACGATACGCGAGATCGCGCGTTACACGAATATATACTGTAATTTCCTGGAAAGGTAAATTCTTAGCCAAGAAAAATATCCTCCATTATATATGTCGTTATATATACCTACCTAAATTTACAAATACACACACATAAATAGATATTTACACACGTATCCACATATATATATACACATATACCGATGTATATACATATACACATATATCCTCATATCCATTTACAAGCCCATATACACATTGTTATACATACAAATATGTATCCGCACACATGTGTGCATACAATCATCCTCATATCTAAATACACACCAATATTTACCATCGTATATAAATATAACACACATATCACATATATATATATATATATATATATATATATATATATATATATATATATACCAACACTGAATCATAGCCTAAACGTAAAAATGTATTTCAAAGTACTTATGTCCATATACAACTGAATATATATTATATTATAACTGATAGTGATTTTTTTTAAGTATAGCAAGTTATATTGAGATGATTTCTGTGTCTGCATTTAAAGATCATCTCATTGTGTTGGTTTAGTAACTCATCAGGATGTTTATGCTTTATTATTAGGATCTTCTCTTTAGTACATAGCTCTCATCACTCTCAAATCACTATCATTTATAATATAATATATATGCAGTTGTATATGGGCATAAGTACATGGAATTTCCATATACGATCCGTTAATAAAAGGTGCTAAGTGGTGGGGAAGATTCTATGCGCCAGAAAACATAATTGATTTTGCCATGACATGCCTTAATTTTACAAGCGTAGATAAGACCGATATATACCGTATATACTCGCGTATCATGCGACTTTTGAAGACCTAATTTTGAAGCTAATTTTAAGTGGGTAGCATCATACATGAGATATAAAATTAGCCTATGTACTGCTGGCCCTGGCTACGCTGTTGACCAAATTATATATCCATTTACTGTAGTCAAAAAGTACAGTTGTATTTAAAATAAACATGATTTTGATAAACCTGATGTTTTACTTAACTGTATCCAATAATAATGTATATATAATATTCCCATATTAGTATCGTATTATAAAATACAAACATGGCGAATATACATCTTTTCCATTGTTTATGTTTAAAAGATGTTTAGCTGTTTCTCATTTGGTTGTTTATGGCTGTTTGTTATAGCAACTAGTAACTAACTAACGATACTTTTATCATTCTCTTTTACTTTTTAACTTATTTAACTAGAAGATGGAATAAAGAGATGGAATCAAAGAGGTTAGTCGATTGTAATTTGGTTTCTAAAAAAGGAACTCGCATGATACACGAGATACATGATAAAATCTTTTTTTTATAAGTGAAAATTTGGGGGTCGCACGATATGCGAGATCGCGCGTGGCACGAATATATACTGTAATCAAGATATTAACTTTCCACACCACCTTTTAAAAAAGATTAGAAAGAAAACCCCCATCAGTGCCAGAAGCAAGGAAAACTGTTAGTAAACTTGTGAAACCTAATTTACTGAAGAGCTCTTTTAAAAGACAAATTGCATAAGTTCTAACCGTCACTCCCATGAACTGTTCAGTCAATGAATGATGAATGTTTCCATATAAGGAAACGGTTAATCTCATTATTACTAATGACTATACCAATTACTTATAACCATTATACCACTGGTTATATTTCACTATTCCCATTACCGTTAGATTCCCCACCTCCGGATGTTAAAAGCATTTGGTAATCATTAGCGAACTCATCTCGCAATTCTTGCACCAAACTAAACGTGGCGTGGCATTTTCAACGCTAATCTATTAGGGTCGTAACGGCACATACTGCAGCCTAAGTAGCAGTCGTGTTTCCATGGCTTTCCTGACGAAGTCCAACCTTCTCTGGGCCGGTTTTGAATTCAGAGACTTTCATTCTATTAGACAGGTTGCTATCCAAGGCTATAGGGCCCATTTTGTCCTATTATTTACCCATACCTGGAAGGGGTAGGAATAGATTCATACCTTTCTCAAGGCTATTAGCAAGTAAGTGAATATAACGAACTCGACTGGAATTCGAACTCACCTCAATCCGAGCAGTTATCTATTACTCCATCGCGCTAAGGTAACGACTACAAATGCCTATTTTATCATTATTTGAGGGTTGAATAATTATATATTTCCTAATGTACATATTTGAGTTTGTGCAAAAAAAAAAAACAAAAACGAAAGATATAGAATGCTGATTTTAAAGGGAGTCAAGATTTGCGCCAAAGAGTTGCTCTGCGCTGAACTCCATGCATTTATAATCGTACTTTTTTATTCTTTTGAGCATTTCACCTCAAGCAAGGCGACAATGCTACTAAGACGCAAGGTGATATTAGGAGTGAAAGAGAAGGAAAAGACATTTAAAGGAACGAGAAACGTTAAATAAAATTTCAGACGTTAAGCGGGGACTTCAGAAATATGGGATTGAAGTCGACGTTAAAAGGTACCGGAAACCCAATTCTAAAAAGGACTGAAGAGACACACTTTTACACCTGTCCAAATATCGGAGAGCAGTGTGAACCGGACGAAAAGCGGACCTATCTGGTCCTATTCAGAAAAAAAAGTAAATAAAATGTCGGAGTTTAGGCGAGCACTTTAATATATATATATATATATATATAACACTGGACGGCCGTTCTGTCCTATATTTCAGCAGTGCGCATCCACTACCGAGAATTGAAACCCTGACAGTTAGGTTGTCAAGAAAACATCATACCAACTGTTCCACCGGGCCTCAAAGAGAGGGTGAATGGCTTCTAATGCTCTAGAGTGAGCGGCTTGGTGAGAGTAGTCATGGCTCCAGGGGGCACAGTCCTATGGTTACAGAGAACTCAGTAAGAGTTCCACCACGGAATATGTGAGTGAGCGGCGCTAAGTTGAGTCTGATTTGCAATCTCTTCGTCACCGAGTCCCATTAGAACAGTTGGTATGATGTTTGCTTAACAACTTAACTGTCAGGGTTTCAATTCTCGGTAGTGGATGCGCACTGCAAATATAGGACAAAACGGACGTCCAGTGCTTTCTGCATTCTGCTGAGGTTTCTTTCAGACGCGATGAATTACTTATATATATATATATATATATGAAATAGACTTTAAAAGGAGCCGGTAACAGAAAACAAGGGATAAACCACTACTCCTGTTCAAAAGACCTGGGGGGTAATGTGAACCGGACTATAGATGAATCTATCTGAAAATAAAGACGTGTGTCAAATGATTGTAAATAAAATTCTTCTTGAGTGACAAGTTTAGAAAGTACCAATTTTCAACGCGATTTGTCACTAACTTGCAACTTCTGTGTCCAGACACAAAGCCGTCATAATCAATCTTCGATAGACTAAGCGTTCAATGACAGTTCTTCGCCCAGGAGGTGAAACCCTTCCGCTTACTTATCTATTCATCTATGTCAGTCTCTTCCTCATCGGTATTCGCTTGACAGACCTTCGCTTGGCATATACCCATAAATGTACGGCATCCCGGAAAGATCGAACAAGCTTCGATTGTTATGGCTTTACAAAAAGATTATACTAACCACTGCACTATCATTACAACGATTTTATTTACTAACAAGCAAACGAGTAAAGATTCGAACACGCATTCGACGAACGAAAAAAGTATTGAAGCTCCATAATTATGGATACATCCTTGGATAACAATATCACATAAATAAGCATTACACAAATACACACACACACATACATATATATTATATTATGATTTAAATAATAAATAATGCAAACATAACATGTATGAAATTCACAGCAGAGAAGAAGATTCAGTTCGAATAAGATATGAACAGGATTATGTGAGCTTTAAAAAAAGATCATATATATATATATATATATATATATATATATATGTGTGTGTGTGTGAATAATACTTATTTATGTGATATTAGCTATAATCGATATTAATCGACGAGCACTATGGGGAGTAATGAACGAATTTGTAAACAGTCACTATTACTGCTGATAATACAAGACTCTCCTAGCGATTGAGTTCTCTGAGTGACTGCGTTTATGAAAAAATAAATATTCAAAAATTCGCCTTTCTCTCTGCTAGGCGTCAGATTCTCCGAGTGATATCAAATGGGTCGGGCCTCAATGATTATATATATATATAAAGACATTTTTATGTTTAACATTCTTTTTATAGATACAAGTGTTTAAGTAAATGTTCTGTTTATAATAAACAGTATTAAATAACATTTACCGGCCTCAATGCCCAAGAAATTTTCATAGAAAATATTCGTCCTTTGAGAGGATTCGAACCTGCATCCTATAGGGAACCGTCATTTACACTGGCGTGCCTTAACCGACTCGGCCACAAAGGATCGTCCGCTTGGCGAGGTCGAATTTACTGCTTATAAACTTCAGTCTTCCATGAATCTCTCACGTACATTCATAACTGCTCAGGGCGTATCAAATGTAAACAAATGACGTCACACATTATGAAATGGATATATATATATATATATATATATATATATATATATATATATATATATATATATATATTTTAAAATGTTCAATTTGATTATTTTTTTGAAAAATATAATTTCCCATATGATCAAACTTTTGTTTTTCTTTTCAGTAGATAAATTATACAAAAACTGCCCAAATATTTTATTTTTCGATCGATTTTGGTTATACATTTAGTCATTTTCAAGGATGGAATATATTTACTCTTAACCGGAAGTGGATTGTACTTGTATGTATTTAATATTATATAGATTTTTTTTTATTTTCAAAACACAGTCAACATATTGTGTTCATGTTCATAGTTGATATTAATGAGTGTTATTTTCTTTGTTTTATTAATAATGCTTCAATTATGTTGAGTCCTTTTTTACACATAGAAGATGCTATTATAGTTGTATTATCAACAAGTATGTTGCGAACAGGTTCCGACAGGTCTCCATGAGTATTTAACATGTTTAACAAGAAGACTCACGCTACATCTTTTTGACCATAGCTCAATTAGGTTTCATTTAAATACACATGGAGTCCTACCGGAACCTATTATCAACATACTTGTTGACAATACAAATATAATAGTATCGTCTAAATTTTTAAAAAAAGCTAGAAATAATGAAACCCTTATTAATAAAAACACAAAAAGAGCACTTAGTAATATCAACTATGAACATGGACCCAATATGCTGACGGTGTTTTGAAAATAAAATATTCTATAATACTAAACGCGTACATACAATAACCCATTTCCAATTAATATTAAATATATTCCATCCTTGAATATGGCTAAATATATAGACGAAAGCTATTAGAAAAATAAAACATTTGGTCAATTTTGTATAATTTATCTACCGAAAAGAAAAAATTATAAGATCATGTGAGAAATTATATAAAAAACTTAATTAAAGCACCTTGTCTGTCATAATTAATGAAGCTTGAATGAAAGAAGGATTTCTGCCTAAATACACGACATCTACAAACAACAGCCACCTGCGTTAATGCAAAGCTCTTCAGTAAAAGGAATGGAGCACTCCTACTGATTGACATTTCTGTACATTCGTAAAAACAATACGCTTGATTTAGCTGCCTCATTCTGTCGAATGAACATAGCTCGGTAGTAGAAAATCTGACTGACACCAAATCAGATGTGTTTCAATCCTTGGTTGAAGCATTCGGATGACTAGTTGCACTGAAGATGTGAAAGAAGACTGTCTGTGAATGATATATATATATATATATATATATATATATATATATATGATAAAAATATAGTATGAAGCCTATTTCATAATCTTCAGGTCATCTTCAGTATGAAACAGATTGGTATTGCTTAGTGTGACTTCAACTGTCTACTCATATATATATATATATATATATATGTGTGTGTGTGTGTGTGTGTGTGTCTGTGTGTGTGTGTGTGTCTGTGTGTGACAATGTGGTAAACGTTTGCCTCTGTGTCACACATCATTCCACCAAAGCTGTCCTTTTTAAGCAATTCACCCCAAGCAAAGCGGGAGTGGCATCGGTACGCAAGGAGATACAGAGAGTGTATGTAAGGTAAAAGACTGGCTATAGGGGACTGAGGAAAGGATAAAAAGAGGAACGAAGGAGCATAAATGCAACAGGACTTGTCGATTGGCATTGCATTTAAATTTTTGAAGATTATAGTTATCAGGGAAGCAAGTAAGAGGAAGGGAGTTACAATGTCGAGAAGTGCGAGAGAAGACGCTGTAGCATGGCACTAGCTTAAATTCATGCAGTGAAATATAAATATTTATCTACCTATATATATATATATATATATATATATATATATATATATATATATATACAAGTATAGGATTGGTGTATACATTCAACACTATCACTTGATAAGACACCAGAAGTGGTGAAACGAAATGGTTATTTTTGTAGTGATTTTATAACATATTTATGTTATAATTTTCGAATAAATAATTATATATATATATATATATATATATATATATATATATATATATAATGTGTGTGTGTCCGCGTGTTAGGCCGGTTGATAATTATTCAATCTTTAATGAAATAATAAACAGGGATAGTAACTCTCATATCCTGACATTATTAAATGGAACACTTCTCAGTTAAATCACTAGTACACATATTAAACTTCGAAGACAGACTAATCACAAATGTCCACGAATGACAAATGGAACCTGGTCTACACGGCAACACTGCGCCATCTAGCGTAAACTTCCTTTAAACTTAATAAGTCAGTATCGAAGGATTTGCGGACTTACGTGTATATGGATTTTTGTCCTTGTTTGGTGTGAGTAACCCGCCCAAAAGTTTTTGGAAGTATTTTTGATAAACTATTTTATATATATATATATATATATATATATATATATATATATCCAAGACAGCTTACTCCCTGCTTATTGATTTTTAAACACACAAACTTGCATATATCTCTATATACACGATGTGTCTGATATGTGTTTATACATAAATACACGCACACAGACGATATATATATATATATATATATATATATATATATATATATATATATATATATGTATATGTGTGTGTGTGTGTCTGTGCTCGTGTCTGTGCGTGTTTTGCGTGTGTGTGTATGTGTATGTAAGTATAAGAGACGGTGAAACAGGCGGATGAGAATGGGTGAATGCCTGTTCTACTGAACTCAAAGACCTACGCTTGATTTTTCTTGCTTTCAAATCTGAAACTTCAACATCGATCGTTATTTTTAAGGGTTCAGTGAATTTTCCACCATCGCAAAATCTTTCTTGCCATAACAACATTTGCTTATGTCGGGAATAAAAATTCCACAAGCAACAAACACATCTTTGATTTCCAAGATCGGATAAAACCGCTCGTGTTCGTCGCCTGCCTAAGATTAAATGTCAAGATTCGTTCCCCGTCCCAGTCGCCAGACGAATCTCGGGGCGAAGTCTTTTGAAAATCCTGGTAACGTTCTGTCAAACATACAAAGGCCTTGCCTACATTCTGTTGACAATGTCATATAAATCACTTGCAGCGTCTCATGGCCAACCGTACTCCTTAACTAACAATATTATGATGCGCAAAAATATTTAAATAATAATTAACGCAAACATGACATCTATGAAATACACAGCAGAGAAGAAAGTTCACTTCGAATAAGAGATGAAAAGGATTATGTGAGTTTTAAAGATTTCAATATATATATATATATATATATATATATATATATATAACAACGTGTTTGTAAAAGTCGCAGGAGACATATCTACAGTAAAAAAGCTATAGCTTGTGCAAGTGGCAAAAGCTGCTTACCTTCTGTTGTTAGCAGCTGACGAGAGCAGGGTATAACACGTTGTATGTAGAATATATATATATATATATATATATATATATATATATATACCGGGTGTAACTGTAACTCCAAAATTGTTCAACTGTTGCATTAAGCTTTAAACATTTGCATCTTATAAATGATTAAAGATATCTTACTGGAATTCTCCGAGGTTTTTATAACACTATACATTGAGCAATAAGAATGTATCATTACACTCCCAACTTATAAGAATCGTGATGAAATAGATCATAACCGAAAATGACATGTTCATCATTAATTAGTCATAGTTAAGGATCAGAAACTCATGGGGGATTGATATAAAGTTTATATATATATATATATATATATATATATATATATATAGATATATAGATATATATAGATAGATATATAGATATATATATATCCAATTTATTCACTAACCTAACTTTTTTGTCTTTTAGTAACAAGGTGCATCACACTTTTCACATACGATTTTTATTTTCAAGTTTTTATTCACTGTTCTTTGAACTGTCATTGCTGAAACTCCTCTCTCACGTACTAAATGTTTTATGGTTTGAGTTGGATCTTTTCTAATTGATCTTTTCAGTTCTAAGTTGAAATGATGATCCCTCTTTCTGTTGTGACGTCTTGATTTAGTTTTTCTCACTACTGATCCCTCTTTTTTAAAAACTTATTTACCGTTCTCTTGATGAT